ACAGTGAGGGTGACAGAGCACTGGAACAGGCTGCCCAGAGAGGTTGTGGAGTCTCCTTCTCTGGAGATCTTCCAAACCCACTTGGACGCAGTCCTGTGCCACGTGCTCTAGGTGAACCTGCGTGTTCAGGGGGGTTGGAGTAGATGACCTCTAGAGGTCCCTTCCAACCTTAAGCATTCTATGATCTCCGGATAGATATTTCCTAAGTGGAGGATAAGGTCAAGGACAAATGATCCTAGACAATCATTTAAAATTGTACTTTGGCTTAATATGTATTCCCCTTAGTTCTTTTAAACTGAATCATCTCCAGGAATCTGGGTCCTTTTGTGGCTGAAGTGGTTCCTTCATGTCTTGAGTTGTGTATGAAATTCCATTTTCTTTTACTGCAGGAGATGTGTCTGAATTCTAAATGTTGTTTTTCTTTGAGTAACTCTTTTATACACTCCTTGCCTGTCCTCTTCTGAGGCAGCGAGCCTATATTGGTGTTTTTCAGCTAATTAGATTTGCAGATTCAAATGTACATCATCTTGTTTTCCTAGGAGGCTGCTGTGACAACTGCTGCCTAGAAACTTCCATATCTCTACTAACCTGAAGTTCCTACAATGTCACTGCTAACTTAAGTAACAAACACTACTTCTGCTGAATCTCACGCAACTTTCTTGGTGAACTGAAGGAACTTGCATTGCTGACCCAAATATACACTTATCAGCAACTGAAACAATCTGAAAAATGCTACAGCACTCCAGAATTGGTGCACCTGGGTGATGTGAATCCAGGGTCTCAGAATATTTTGGAACAGCTGCTGCAAAAGCAGGTTATTGAACTCAGCATCAACACTGGAGTCCAGATTCTAATGCAGGTCACTTCACACAGCCTAAAGTCTCCTGTGATTATGGTAGTCTTTGAATATTCATTTCCCAAACTCATTGTTGTTGTCCATTTTTAAGCAGGTTCCTCTTTTTACATCCAACAATTATGCTTCCATTTCTGTCATTCTTTCAATAATTGCTGTTCATCTTCTATCAGTTTCGATTTATAAATTTTTGGATGCTTTGGCATTTCTTCCCCAACAGCTGGTGACCAAGTGCATGAAATGTAACTACTCATAGTTTATCCCGGAAATTCAGTGATTTGGAGGGATAAACAAGTCCTTTCTTTAATGAAACCAAAAATAACATGTGTTACCTGAGAGTCAAACCAGTGTTTTTTGTTTTAGTTCTAATTTAGCTAAAGTGAAATTAAACTTGCTTGGAAGAGTAACAGACTGATTATTTCTCCAATACATCCCAAATGACTGGGAAAATTCAAGGGCTGAAGAGATTTCTAGGGCATTAAATGAAGGTCCAGTCTGACTGGAATTTCTGTCCGTCTCCTCCCTCCATGCCTGGCTGGCTCTCCTTACAGAATAACCCTCTTAGGCATAATGGACCTCCCAGGCAACAGTTTAGTCAGAACATTCAAGGGGATGAGAAAAGGATGATGCCAGAAGGCAAAGAAGTAAGCGTGAGTCAGAGACTGCAGGAAGGGTGAGAAAGTCTGTTCGTTTTTGCTCATGTGAGCTTCAGATTCAATTTAAATTCAGTACATTTTGGCCTAGAGATCCATTTATAGCACATATTAATGTATAGTATATATTAATTGTAAGTATACATTAATTAAATTATCAAAACCATAATTACTGTTTTTTTTTGTTGTTGCAGCCTCCATTCATGTGAACATTTTATCCCCTGTAGCAATTATATGTATGGATCCACATTTTGTAATTCTTTAAATGTAAGAAGAAATGTATTGGAAGAGGATAAATTTCTCCTCTGGTACTGAGGAAAAGGGACTTTCTTATGACAAAAAAAATGCATTATTTTTCAGTGGTCTTTCAGAGGCTGTTACTATATTTAAATACCTTATAAAAATGCCTTTTTCATTATTCAGCATACCTTGTGAAGTGAATTTCTGCATCATACCGCAAAGGGATTGATAAACTGACCTCGTTGTCCAAGTCTTGCTCTTCCTTACTTTCACTGTTCATCAAACATATTTAAGTTTTAACATATGTTAAAAAAATCATTTTATACAAATTTATAACTAATTTGCTTTTAAATAATAATATAGGTTACCTTAATGCACGAAAACTGAGAATTGCCATATTCTGAAGATTTTTCAGGTTAAAATCAAAACTAATATCAAAAGATACCTACAGAAGAGAGACAGGGAACAGAAAGTAAATAAGTTTATATGAAAACATGCAAAGTATTTACAAATAGAAATGTAATTATACTTGCAAACAGCTGGAAATATCCTGCACAACTGAATTCTCCACCTGTTTTTGTGCACTATTTCAATAATCTCTAGTACTATAGAGTTCTTTTGTTCTCATTTTTACCTACAAATCAGCAGTTACATAAATTAATTAGCTATTTGCTAACTGTTTTTAAGTGTGAAACTAGCTGCAAGCTGCAACAAAAAAGGTGTTCAGGGTGCTTTGAACTATAAACTTTTAAATACAAACATTGACACAAGCTTCATTTTCATTTTTTTTTCTATTTATTGCAAAAGATCCACTTACTACTGTAAGATCCACTTACCAGTGACATTACAAGTAACTAATTAGAACAAACTAATGTTTCATATCTAATTAGGCATTTTGGTTTTGCTTTCTTTTCCTCTGCAAAATGTCATGTTTTTATTCCTTTTGGCAAGTTGCTTATCGCTCAAACTGACTATGTTAGAGGCTGAAAGTCTGTTTCTGTTCTTCCCAAGAGGATAAGAGATTAAGTTCCCTAAGACCATAGATATCATGAGATTTATGCTATATATGGCGAAAAGGATACATGATCCATGCTAGGGCTGTGCGGGCCACCCCTGTCCTCTCAAGACAAGCATATTTCCTTGCAGGGATTACATTCATAGAGCAAGCTCTGGGCTCAGTCAGCAGTAGGAACTTGACTGCATTTCAGTTCAAGTCCCTGGAGACTGCGACATGCTGAGCAGTAACTCACAGCCTCTGCTCCCAGCCCTTCACTCCCAGAGTTACAAAGCTCAGTTGCATCTGGGAGTTCAGGCGTTTTCCAGGGGCAGGGAAAAGTGTGTTTTGTGAGCATTTCCCCCTTACTCTGGTAGAGATCACTAAAGTTCATCCCTTAGTCTGGTTCTTTTAACATCTCTGAAAAGCAAAGGGAATTCAACCACAGTTAAATTTGAGAAATCCTCACCAGTAGTAAAAGCAGATGGTGGTGTGGGGGGTATTATGGAGGGTAGAATACAATGCTTATTTAAACACACTAGCTCTACCTGTTGTCCTGTTCGGAAAACAGGGTAACTGATTTGGCAAATTACTGTAGATTGAGCTGTACCGGTTTGACAAGAGACTTCAGTCCCGTCGCTCTGAAAAAGAAAGACAGAAAAGTCATTTCTAATATCAACTTTTGATAAAACAGATGAGAAATCCCCATGTCAGTATCTTCAACAGGGCATCTATTACATTAAGGTGCAGGCCAAGCAGCTGTAGATAGCAGCTCCTGGAGATGCACCCGATGGGGCTACAGCAAGACAAATGGGACAAGCAGGGTGGGAAAGGCCCAGTGCTGTGCAGCGTCTTGTGGGCTGTCATGATCTTGTGAGATTGTTTGCTGGACAGTCACCATTGCAGTTCACATTGTATTAACTGTTATAGTGTTTTCTTACAGCAGTTTTACAGAATCGGTCCTGTTTACAAAACCTGACTGAGAGTTAAATGCTCTCAGAGTACTTAGACTACTCAGAGTACTTACAGTACTTTGAGAGTATTTAGAAACTGAGAGTTAAGTACTATAGAAATTAATGTGCAGTTAATGTACCTTTGTAGGAAAAATTTACAGTGCATTGGAGCATATATACCACTTTACAGAATATTTAGCATGTCATCATCTCACACCAAAGGGAAAAAAACCTCAAAGGCTATAACCAGTTATCATCACACTGAAAATAATTTGTTAGAACATACTGTCTTTTGATAAAATACATCCCTATGAGTTCATGAATTATGTCCCCCCGACGCACATGTTCTCAGCTATTGCATTTTTTTCTGCTTTGAAACAGGCATGTTTGGGGGCTAAAGCTTTGCTTGCACGCGCCTAAGTGAAAGGGGAGGAAAATCCTAGCTCCAGTGTGGTCTTTTGGCATGAAAGGAATGAATAATTCTGCTGCGCAACAAGAAGGGGTGCAGCGTTGTGTGCTCCTCAGCGTTGTGTGGAGCACTTCTGCCAGCTCATTGTTAAGAAAATACTGCTCTTGGGTGGTGATGAATGCTCCCATGCCCCCTTCCTTCAATATAGCGATTGCTCTGGAGTTCACCCTTAGTATTATCATGCACCTCTCCAGCAGCAGCCTGACAAAATAGGCCAAACGCTGAGTCTGGATTTCATCCTACATGAATTATCTGGGAGCAACAGTTCAGATTAAAGATTTACTGCACTCCCCAAAATAGCCTACAAAATGCCTTTCTTTTCTTTTTCTGGGACAAAAATTCATTAGAAGACTAGCTTCTGGTATAGCAATATAAGAAATCACTTTAACCTGATTAACTGTCTAGTTGGAATACATGGCCTTGGCCGTAACACTGTTTCTAGATCCAAAGTCTGTGCTTTAAAGCTATATCCATGCTGCATGTTTGATTTATCATATATGAATCCCCTCTGGCACAGCAACCGCATTCAGATGTTGGGAGTCAAGCAGAAGACGTGGATGCCAAATTCTAAAGTAAGGAAAAGATGACTGAAATACTGATGTAAGGTCAAGCTCAGTGGCCAGCTTTTATGCTGAGTTGGCAGTATCTCTCCTTGACCTAAATAAACTGATACACTGAAAGGAATAATTTTGGTATTTGAAGAACTAAATTGGGAGAGGTGTGTATACACTTTCACCTTTTCTGGGATAGGTCCTACTAGAAAGAAAAAAGGCATTTTTTCTAAGAAACTATAAAAGCAGTGGCAATAATACAAACAATTAGGGAGGGTACTTCCACATACTGGTAAAGAAGATGAAGCAAAAAACAAGTTGTCTGAAAAGGTAGCCTGGATTCTGGTGTTATATGCATTTTCCTTTTTATTTCTCAGTTTCACGTTGAATGTCAGCCTTCTGTTTTTGCTGCTTACAATAAACGGCTGTTTGCTGTTGGAAAATAAAGTCCAGTGTTGTAAACAGAGATACTAGAATAGCCGTGGAACATGAAAACGTATGATTTATGTACCATTAAAATAATAGTACTGAATTTACAAAGATTCGACCACACCGGAAAGATTGGCTTAGTGTGGCTGGCTGGGTGGGATGGCACCTTCAGGAAGAGCAGCCATATTGCTTTCCACACTGCAAATATGCAAATATTTGTGTACTGATCAGGAAGATGTGTGTACTGATCACGCAGCTGATCTCTGCTCCCGAGAGGCACAAGCCTCTGCGGGCATCCCGACTGCTCCCTGCGAGGGATGGAAACGGCCACTGCAGGGGCTGCTGCTTCTCCCAGGGCTCTCTCATTCACAACAGCAGCCAGACAGACCTTATAGCTCCGAATGATTACTGTGTCTTCATCCCTAAGGGACCAAAATCTCAATTTGTCTACCTTGGTGAAAATCCTGTGCTTATCCACAGGATTATCAGTACACTGGTACTCCTGACATACCTCCTTTTTACCTGATTATGACAGAAATACCATTTCTGTTCCCCTTCCCCAACTCCACCAGCTAATTTGAAGTAGTCATCGAAATGGAAAGACATTTTCAACCAGAATTCATCCTGAGTCCACAGACGAGTCAACTTGGTTGCTAAGCTAACAGAATGACCAACCCCAACAATTCCATTTATTCATCTCTTACCTATCATCTGCCTTCTGTTGAACCTTAAGGACAAGATCACAGATACAAAGTTCATCTTCACCACAGTCTTTAATAAAAGGAATCTATGAAAAACAAAAACATTTCCTGAATGATAGGTCTCAGTCTTAAGACACTACAGTAGATAATTTTAAACTAAGTAGCATGTTACTATGTCCGATGATCTAGATGGGGTGTTCTTAATCATGACAAATTGAAGGGGACTGCCTCTCTTTTATTGACTCATTTACTGTAGGTTAAACTAACCTTAATTCCTTCATCTTTGCCATCAAGTAGGAGTTCCCATGAACAGTAGTTTGACCCCAATGAACATGCTTTTTATGCCATGCTGACTCGTGGATGTGATTGAGTGTTTGTGTGTGAGCAAGGCCATGCAATACAGACAGAAGCATAAATGGAACAGGGAAATACTACCAGGCATGTGTTTCATGTACTTCTTTGGTGCTTGTGTGAGGTTGTAAGAGACTGTTTTGCATTGTCTTTTGTCTTGACATTGTTGCCATAACTCCTTGGCCTTGCCTCTGGGAAGACCATGATGTCAGCACTAAGTATTTCGTCTCCCTACAATTATCTATGTCTTGACCTTGGCACCCCACCTCTAGGAGGAGTGTGAGATTAACACAAGGCCCAAACATGCCCAGCAGTGTCTACGGAGCAGCGCTGGCACTCAAGTTGGGGGAAGAGGAGCACTAGAGCACGCAGAGAAGGGGGGCAGACTCTGCAAGAACAGGGACATAAAAGGACTGTGTATTCCCCTGCACCGGGGGGCACGTGCAGCGGCTTCTTCCCAGGTGTGTGCAGTTTTTTCGGGGGTGCACAGCTTCTTTCCCGGGACATCACTTGCATTGAAGTGTGTGAAACATCACCTGCACCTGCACCGAAGCAGAACCGACAACACTTCGCTGGTGGTGGTAACTGTAAGCCTGCTGCATCTCTCTCTCCTGCTTGCTTGCTTATCTTTCTTTCGTTTATCCTCTTCCGCTTCTTTCTGTCCTATTGCGCTTATGAGAATAAAGCTTACAAGGCTGTAAGGCATTTGACCTCATTTGTGTCTTAATCTCACTCTTGGGATCGTATTGAAACCTCTCCCGATACCGAATTGGGACAGAGGTGCCACATGTTACATATCTGTGTATACCCATTTGTTTTTCAATAGAAAGACTATATACTTACACTATAGGCCACAGACGCAGGAGAATATATATCAAGAACAGGACTGGAGCCAGGATTTGCAAGACCAATGTCAATGCGCAAATTGAGCGAATTCACTGCATCAGAAGGTTCCTGTAAAACATGTGTTCAGCTGGCAGCATAGCAAAGTATAACTCCAGTAGTTCTATTGTAAATTGGCAATATATAGCAAAATAATGTTTAATGTACTGTAAACAGGAAACAACACTGCATTGTCTCATTTCTCTTAAAAAAAAAAAGTCTTGTAATTGGCAATGCTAATCTATTTTTGGTGTCATTTCTATCATAAAAGTCTTTTACCAAGCATTCTTAGAAATGCTATTCATCACAATTACTTCTCACACTAGGAAACATACAGATTCTCTGAGGCTAGAGAAGATGGTTCTCAGAACCAACCATCAGGTCACTTCCATTCTCACCTGCTTGCATAAGTCAAATTTTCAGACCACTCTGCATTACTATCACAGCGAGTAGTTAGGCCTCTGAACAACACTAAAAGATAATATATTTTATGTCTCTTCTCTTTCTTTGCACTAGCTGAATTCTCTTCTAGCCCTACAGTTCATGGCTCCACAATGACACAAAATGTAATCAACAAGTTCAAGACACGCTGACACTACTCAGGAATGCAGTGCCAAAAAAAAAGAAAAAGAAAAAGTACATTTCAAAGGGAGAGAAGTAAAATTGTACCTGTTTGTTAATCTGTATGGTTTGTACAAATTGTAAAGCAAAGCAGGAACTAACTGCAGGATTTTGATTTTGTAATTACCTAACATGGCATCATGGACACAGCTGACAACTCTCTGGGCTGCATTTGGTTTTCCATTCTGATTCTTTTCATTTTTTCCAAAGGCAACATGTACCTACCATTGGCTACTATGAAGTCAGCAGAAGTATAAATTCTTTTTAGTCTGAGATGAACTTTTACATGAAATTTACATGAGTAGATAAGGAAGAATCTACTCAGAGTGAAATTAAAATCTACTGAAACTGTGGTCTCTGTGTTAGGTCAGATCTGAAGCACATAATTACAGTGGCCTCTCTGCCCTAAGAAAAGCTTTGTCCTTGTCCTTTGCTGAATAAGAAAAGTTCTTATTAATTTCCTTGACATCAGAATCTCGCTCTGCATTTTTCAGTTGTGGAGAATTTGAGAGAAGTAAATCATTGAGTACGTCCTGCATTATATTCTTCTTTTATGTGTTCAACTTGTTCTTCTGATCTTTTCTGAAGTTGTTTGCAACTGCACTTACCTGTACACTGAAGATGTCATGAACACAGTTCTCCTCACGACGTACCACAATATCCCTCTGCATGTACCGTTCATTATTTTCCTTGAATAATCCTCTAGAAGTCACTCTAGAGGAGTGGAGATCAGCATCCAGTGTTGCATTGTATCTGATAGCTGCAAAAAGAATAACAGTATTTTTTACTAGAGTCTGACTGCCAGTGATTTCACTATTATACTCTTCTATACTACAGAATAGCCAAACTTTCCAAACTACCTTAAGTATTTTACTTTTTCTGTAGCTCACTTAACACAGAACATTCTCAAAATGATAAAGTTTTCCTTTGCATTTTCTGAAGCAGTTAAACAGGTTTAAATCCTGAAGTAAGTTCTCATCTACAGAGAGCACATTAAATGGCAATCAGTGCAGCCTGCACTGCAGATGTATGAGCCTGTAACTTGGGCAAGGAGCCAGTCAGCAGGATCAGGATTTTACTAGAAAAAGAGACCTTACAACCACATCCCTGAATTCTAAGGAGACTATAAAGAATCTGCATCTTCTCTTCAATCACATAATAATTCCTGTCTTCTCTTTGTGTTATGACTAATACACTGTAGAAATTCATTGTTATTTTATAGCTAACAACTTTAAGTTCCTAAAGGCGCTATATGCTGCACTGAAGCAGTCCCAGTGTTACCAAGGCTGTGTGCATTTAACTAAAGAGCTTCATGAGTGGCCAATGTTAGCCTCAGAAATATTTGATGCTTTCAGGTCCTCAATATAAAAGAGCTTCTCCTCAGTGACATCTGCAATGAGTTTGTGGAAATTATTTTTTGTTGAAAAGTGTGCCGTCTGCTGTTGTTGAATCCAGCAGTTCATGAAGGCTCTCTCTCCAGGAGTGGCATCTTCCAGGGATATCCAGTTACCTTCCTAAAGTTTCTTGTGGTCAAGAAAGACGAAGAAAAACTGTGGAACTTGATGAGCAGAAGATGAAGAAAAATTAATTTCTCACTAGTGATATTTCCTGGGGTTTGTTGGACAGTGAGGATATAGTGCTCCTGAGTATTATTAATGCCTCGATTTTCAAAGATTAATGAGATAGTGATGACAGTCAGTCATATTGATGAAGTAAATTCAGAAAAACTTTCTCAAGCATTTAAACTTTATATGATTACTCTTGTTCTTGGTATTCAATTCAGTATCAATATTTCTGCTACCCATCTGAATAATGGGTTTTTGAAGAAATTAATATAAAACATGCCATCGAAATAATCTTACCCACTTGATTACTTCTCTTAGCAGGTCTAAATGTAGCCTCAAAACATATTTTGACGGTTATTTCTGTGTTCTTGTTCAGCAGACTGATTTTCTCAGGTTTAAATGAGGCAATTATGGACACATTTGCAATGCTTTGTGACCTGAAAAATATTTTTAAAGGACTACGTGTGATTTTTAAAAGGACCAAGTAACTTAGAAATAGCTTTCTAAGATATATGTCTAAATGCAGCGTTAAATACTATGTCTCCCAGAATCCCACACAGAATCCCAGAATGGTTGAGGTTGGAAGGGAGCTCTAGAAATCATCTAGTCCTTCCCCCCTTCTCCAGCAGCGTCACCCAGAGCACATGGCACAGGGTGGCATCCAAGCGGGTTTTGAAGATCTCCAGGGAAGGAGACTCCACAACCTCTCTGGGCAGCCTGTTCCAGTGCTCTGTCACCCTCACAGTAAAGAAGTTCTTTATGGAGGTAGAGGTGGAGTTCTCATATGGAGGTGGAACTTCCTGTGTTTCAACTTACACCCATTACCCCTTGTCCTGTCACTGGCCACCACAAAGAAGAGTTAACACCCCACGTAAATATTTTTAATGCTATTGGATTTTTTTTTTCCTTTACTTGTAACTGTTTTTGTTATATGATAGTTTTCATACTGACAATCAATCATTTATCATGTCAAATCAATGGATAATTGGTAACTTCATTCTAACGCCCTAGCCCTTTTCTTAAGATAACAGAAAATGAAGCTGTTGCCTTTTTTCCCCTCCAACAAATAATGTTCTTAGGCTCCTTCGGGCAAGTCACTGAGTTTCTCTAGAAAGGCGAAGAAAAGTTATTCTTCATTTTTAATTGATACTGTACTTTTCAGAAAAACAACTTTCAAGTAATTAATCAAGATTTAGAAGAATAGTTGCAAAGGAACCCTGCATGTAAACACAAACACTTCAATCAAAAGTGAAACCCATTAATCGGACCAAGTGCTGGAGTGAAAGTGAAAAATGAGCACCCTCATTAATCAAATAGACATAAATGTGGGTATTCCAAGCAGCATAGTTTTCTTTAATGCAATTACCACAAGCACCTGCAGGAGTTCTGCTGCAGGACAAAGGTCCAAACTGACCATTCATTTTTAATAACCTTGTTTTATTAAATAAAGTAGCAATTTGGTAATGTTTTTCTTGTTACAATGGGAGCCTCAGGCGAGAATAAGGGTGACAGATAGGAAAGCAAGCTGTATTTTAATTTAGCTCCACATGGAAGTAGTGGAAAACACACAGCTCGGGGAGCGCAGTGTTTAGGTTTTGTGAAGCCTTTCTTCCTTCATTTGTGAAACTACTCAAGTTGCTCTGGCAAAAACGCAAACCCACATGCCAGAAGAGATGTGGATGCTTCTTGCCAGAGCTGGGTGCCAGCACTCATTCACTGTTATGTGACCTTACTCTGCAGGACAAGTTGCTCACATAGACGAATCTGTTGGCTAGCAAAGGTTACGCAGACTGTGGGAGAAGTGATTTAATGGCAGTGCTACACACAGGAGACCTGGCTCGCAGAGTTGTAGCTTGGCTGTTACATGACCAGCTGTGACAGTCAGGCCCAAGCAAGCAACCCTGCCCTCAGCAGCCCCATGTGCCTGTGTGGTGGCCACCGGCGGCTTCTCCTAGGCCTCCCTCCCTGCAGGATCTCACGGCGGCACCGCCAGCACCTTGCTTCACCCCACGCTCTCCCATGCCGAAAGGGGCTCTCTGGGGCTTGACAAAACACGCTTACAAGCAGTTTAACCCAACACTGTTTTTCAATCAGCTACAATAATAGAAATTAGACAATAACTGTTGGCCCTGAACACATAGATGGGAAAGAGCTTTTTGGTTTGTTTGTTTTGCTGTTTAATTAACTAAATGCATGTGAAACATGAAGTGCTGCCTTTCCAAAAGAGTTTACTAACCAAAGTAGAAGCACATTTCCTTCAGCACCAACCGATACGTCAGTAATACCATTGTCATCTAAGTCTCTATGGCCATCTACTGATCTTCCAAAGAACTGGAGTTGTTGTCCAAAAGCAGGATCTGATCCTACAATTTTCTGGAAAAGAGAGTTTGATTACTGATCTAACACAAGAGTGCTTGAGCTTTTAGATAGCTGCTCAACCAAGAGATTTTTGTGTATATTTTCTGTATATGGAATGTACTGTTTAAACAAAATAATTTGCAGATGTTATCTTAATTTTTAATCGGTTTACTACTGTTGCATGTAATACTGTATATTTATAATTTACAGAGCTGATATTTATTTAATCTTCTTTGTTGTGCATCAGCCCTAGAAATAACAGCTTGTTCAAAATGTGCAGGTAGTTAGTTCACTTCATACACAGGTACCAATAAAAATATAAACAGGCTCAGATGAAGCATCCTGCAAGTCATTTTTTCTCTGTACACTTCAGCTGTAAGAACCATAACATCATTCAGGACATGCTGGCAGCTGAAGTAAAGAGAATGGCAAAACGGGAAATTAGTCATGAGAATATCCATATTCCTTTAAGAGAGTGAAATAGTAGCTGATAAATACACAGCCGATCCTTCAGTTTTCCTCTCACAGATCTGAAGACACTGAGCACAGCATTAGGCAAGTTATTTACCTGAGAATATTTGGTATATATAGTCTTTTGGTATCCACTGTAAATATAAATTGCTCCAGAGTTTTGGCTCTCCAGCGGCGCACCTATTACAACATCATTAAAGCCATCTAAATCAATGTCTGCAAGCGTTGCAATCGCTGATCCAAAGTGAGAATTCTCCAACCCTTGTGGACCTTCCAAGAGTTCTTGTTGATGCAAAATCCCCTTTGGGAAAGAAAAATGAAGAAAAAAAAATACCACTGTCACTGCAGAAAAATAGACATAGGAACAGTATCTCTGTGCATTGTTTTTTGTTTTTGTGTTTTTTCTAATACGTTCTCCTTGGACTCTCAACCCCAAATTCCTTCCCCATTGTATTGCCCATTCAGTTTGCATTATATCTCAGAATCTTGGCAAATATTACACACCAAAATTAAAGCATGCTATGCAAAGCTGCAGTAACAGCAAATATAACCATATGCATGAAGCTTAAATGCTGCTCTCACTGTCCTCATCTGACTGTTCTGAAAATTTCACAATACATTGAAAAATACAGTTTCCAGTTTTGGATTACCAGTTTTTATGCAGAGGGAATGGAAATTATGTAACTGGACATAATTCTTTGAAATAGAAATGGAATTTCCTAACTGAACTAATGCAAAAAACATGTGTCCAAATGTTAAACTCCTGACCTCTCTAGTGCCAATGAGAGAAGATTGGAGAACAGTAGAGTTAAACAGTCACATTTACTTTAGCTTAAATTCAACAAATACATTTCTCATCCTTTCCCTCACTCATCACACTACTAAAAATTTTAGAAATATCAGCCAAGCTATTTATTCAAAATGACTAGAAAAGTATAATTTGCACAGCGTGAGAAGTTACCATATTAAAAAAAAAATCCTTATTTTTAACATTTCATTTTAAATAATTTTAAATGTACATTTAACAAAGACTACCCTTATATCTATAAGGATAAGTCTTCTTGTTCAGTTCCCAAAACGGAAGGGAAGAATCCTTTCATTTTTCTTTCCTTTTGTATTTTGTGCCCAGTGATACAGTCACAGTGACTGATGTCTGTTGTCAACAGTTCCATTTCCAGTACTTCTCTCTACCTTGAACTTCCCCAAATTGCCCAGTTTTATGTAGCTTTAGGATAATCTAACAGTGCCCTGTCTTTCCTCTCTACTTATTTCCTTGCAGTTACCTATTAGAAATGCCATGTTCTGTTTTCTCTGATTAACTGCAGGTGTTAATTTACTTCACTTATTCAGATAGCCGTGATTGTTTGTGAGACTGTTTAAAGGTGCATAACTAGTACAAATATTATGAAAACCTGCTTACCAGGTCTGAATAAAACAGTCGCACATCAGATAAAATAACACAGCCTTGCTGACAAAAGCAGCAACCTGAGTAAAAGGAACCATTTAGCATGGAAGTCTGCTAGCAGAAAAGCATTTATTAGTGCTGTTTCTGGAATACTCCTAGGTGTTGTACAAATTTGAACAAAATCAATTGGCAAACAATCGATTGGTGAAAGCCTTAAGCTAAGCTTTCCAGAGAAGCAGTCAACACTGAGTTACATTTGTATACGGTGTCTAGCACAATCCCTAAAGCCTAACCAAACTTTTGGTTATGTAAAAGGGACCTAGACCAGCAGACAACTGATCACTAATACTGCTTAGCTACCAGCTTTGTTAGTGGCTCCATTCTGAACTGCTCCAGCTGGCTTATTCCCACATTATACACACAAGTGGTTCTGGGGAGAAGCCGCATGTTTCTAGGAAGAAGACTGCACTTGGAAGGTCTCTGTCCCGAGGCCTCTAATCCTGCCCCATGTAGGCTTTGCACCATTTGCTCCTAAGATCCATCCCCAGCCAGAGCACATACTCTGTTTCTCCATATAAAAACACCACTCATTTTCTAAGCACTTTGAAACAGGAGAGAGGAAAAAAAAAGGGGGGCGAGGGGGCTGGTCTTAGGGTCACCGGCCCATCACCTGGGGCCCAGGAGAAATCTGGGGCCAAGGTTTGTGGTATAGATATGGCCAGACTGCTTTGGGAGAAGACAGACATCATTCTCTGGTCTTCTGATTTAACAGAAAGACGAGGCTGGTAAATACTATTGCAGTTTGAACTGCTTCTTGCTTGGCAACACTTCAGTTCAGGGGACAACAGCAAACCCTTTCAGCTGCTAAGGAAAACACCTGGACTTGTAGCACCACAGTATATTCATTCCTACCTTTGTTATGGAAAACATATACACTCTTCCTTCCTCTTTCTTCAGGTCATTCATAAACATTGGTGCACCTACGAGCAGCACATCTGTAACAGAATCTCCGTTAATGTCCATTGAACACACCACACTGCCAAAGTAGGAGCCAATCTGAAATCAACAATAAGAAAGTCATGTTTGTATATGGACTTTGTAAATCAAAATGTGTTTAGTGTCTCACCTTGCAAACTCTTACACCCAGAAATAGTCAAATACTAATAAATGAAATTGCTCATTGGAATTAAATTATTATATAATATCCTAAAGCATCTGAAGATGCTCATCCATCCACTCTCTCACCCAGTAGCTACTGCTGTAGTTTCACCACTCAGTAAGAAGTATGCATACAGAGAATAAGAAATGGAAGATATACATTTTTAAAATCAAGTTGTGCACATAAAGCTACCTGGCTTCTGATTTCCTCTCAGATTTGCCTGACTGAAAAAAACAAAACCCATAACCTTCTAAACTTTTATCCTTTTCTCAAATGGAGAAAAGAAAAAGAGATTCCAAATCTTGCTTTTACTGTCATCTACTTCACAGCTACCCAGGCAGGGTGGAGGTCATTGAGCCTCTGCTGAATAGAATTGTTGACAGAACGATACATTAAGTGGTTTCATATTTTATCTTTTACACTAGTGAATAATTCCGTTAAAAAATGTTTAAGAGTTATTTAACCTCGCTGTAACAGATTTTTTGTCAGAGAAAGTGCACATAGGATTCTACATGCTTTGCAAGAAATAGGAATTTTCAGAAAAAATGCATTGCTGTTTACTCCTCTCCTGACCTCCGTGGTCTTGGGACAGAATGTACTTGCCTGCTCGCCTCTCTGGGACTGCACTATGGTGATATTACCATGGCGGTCAACATCATAAACCACAACTCTGCCAGTATAGTTGGATCTTGGTGCACCAGCAACAAAATAGACAGAGTTTTGAGTTGAGAGAACAGCAACAGAATAACCTAGAGGAAGAAGCCAAAACATAACACGTGTGTGAGAGAATTAGCTACTAGCTGTCAGTTCATTATCCACAAAAACTGAAAGGATGAATCAACCTGGTGTATCAGTGGCAGAGGATAATACTTCTATACCATAGCTAAGTAGTCACACATGTACCAAACGTTCTTCCGGAGAGAAGACTGATAGATGGATCCAGTTGAAGCAGGTTTACAGAATAGCATGGACAGTAGTCTAGCCTATTCAGTCCAAAGCACACCACAAAAATGTCATGCTTGTGAAGGAGACAGGAAAAAGACTGCAAAGAGCAGCCTTGGAATGAAGAAGTGAAGAGAAACATAAGCCCAGCTTTTGAGCCCGTCTTCAAACCCAAGAAGAACACCTGACTCCTGCAAAGCTCTCGGTGCATTTTCCCACAGCACAAAAAACCGCAGCCCGGTTCTCTGGCTGAATAGAATTGGCCATATTAAAAGCTTGTCAGCTGAAGGGCTTATATTGACTGAGCTTCTTTGAACATTTTAATCCTCACCCTTAGTATTATAACATTACTTGCTTTCAGAAAACATCATTTAATATCTGCAAATATTTTAAACATGAGTTAGCACTCTAAAGCTAGTAATGACTACATATTTTACATTTCTGTGGTTTTAGCACAGTTCGTTTATTTTAACAGAAGAAACAAAACTCCTTTCTAAATCCTACAGTTAAACTGAAGAACCACATCCTAGTAAGTGGGTAGAGCATATACATCTTTAGGCAGGCTGCCATACAAAGTGGCCAATCTGCTTTTTGATGATTAAGCTTTGGTGATTACAAATACAGGTCTAATTGGACTTCTGCACAGCCACTGTGTGTTCTAGGGACAGAACAACTATTCTGACTAGCAGATGAAACCCCAACAACTGCATGGGATGTTTTTCTGGAGTCTGAGCCAACTAGGCCACCAGTCCCTCACCAAGAAGGCATAAACCACTACAAGTTAGAGGGTGCAGAGCTGAATGGGGGCCACATTAGCAAGCTGGGCAGAGCCTTCTAGCTTGGCCTCCCCACTCATACAGAGAGCTGGTGAGTGAGACAGAAGGAGATGGAAAAGAAAATGCAATGGCATTGTTTCTGGACAAAACTCCAGAAAGTTCCTGGTGGAGAAGTATTGCTAGGAAATGACTGAACATTTTAAGAGTTATTCTTGAACTGTGAAGAATGAAAATTCAAAGGTATTACACAAGCAAAAGAACCAGAGCCAATTAGACTGGGTTTATTTTTACTTTGTGACAGGTAGAAGTACTACTAAGTCATACAAAAAGGGTACATATTAGTGGGAAAATATTTCATTAAAAAACTTTAGGGATAAGAAAGCCAAACCTGTGCTACTCAGGGATGAACTGCCAGAGAAAGCAGGTTGTACTTTTAAGAGAAGATTTCACACTATATGGCAGAAAAATGAGCACAGGGTCACAAAAACATATGATGGAAAACAACTGAGGGTTACAAATAAGACTTCAGTTAAAGTGCAGTAGTATTCCTATAAGTATAAACCTAACTGGAAAAGGTCAGGAAAAGAGAGAGCACAGATGAAACTGTGATACCAAATCAATCAGCTTCTGATCTGCATGTAATTGGGGAAGTAAATAAGGAGTATGAAAATTAAAGGCACTCAAAATAATCAGCATGATGGAGCCTTTCTTATTTCTTTGTCTTAGGGCCCAGTTTTTTTTTTTTTTTTTTTTGGCTTAGCACATTGGTACTAGTAGAATTAAAAATAAAATAAAATAAAAGTTTCATTTAGTGATCAATTGACCAGTATATAAAATCTGTTCAGATGCAAAATTCTTTTCCCAAACAATCTGGCCAGAACAGCATTCTTTACTGTCTGGGGAAATATCCAATAGCTTTCAAGATTTATATTTCAGCTCTTTACCTAGATATGAGCTGTGATTTCTGTCCTGTAGAATTTTTTCAAATACATGACTTGGAAAGGTGGTCACTTTGTTTGAAGCCTCCTGAACGACTGTTCCACTCCAGTCGTAAGCCCCAACAGCACCCAACAGCAGAACATCCTTAAAAAAAGAAAATAAATACATTTTAGCAGTACTTATTTCAAAAAAAAAAAAAAAAAAAAAAAAAAAAAAAAAAAAAAAAAAAAAAAAAAAAAAAAAAAAAAAGGAGGGGGGGGGGGGGGGGGGGTGGAGGAAGTTAAAGTTACCATAGATATATAACACTGAGTTTTAGCTAGTGCAGTAGGAGGTGGAGTTATTCTTTTTTTACAAGAAGGTAAGTAACTTTTCTTTTTAGCTCCTAGGCCATAACAATTCAAGATAAAATGAATTTAAAACCTATGAAAATCTCTTAACATGTCCACCCTATGGTTGGGCTTGATAAGCTTTTTTTTTTTTTTTTTTATGTAATGAAGATACTCAGGAAAGTGTCAAAGTGTCAAAGCAGTAAGAGGAGTAAGTAAGAGCAGTAAGTTTTTGTGTTCAAGTGCAATGACAACATACAAAAGGTGACAGAATAAGATATAAAATCTCATCTTTTATGTGTATGGAAAGGAGATGTCATTGAGGGGACAGTTAAATCCAAAATCCAAATGAATAAATTGTTATTAATCTTTGACTGGCATGCAAAAAAATAAAATAAAAGAATAATTTGTATTATTAAAATTCTTTCATTTCTTAATGAAGATATTGTGCAACAAAAACAAGATGTGCTGCTTTCCTGAACAAACACTAAAAGATTTTTAACTTTTGTATCAAGTACTCAGTAAATCATAACATCCACTTGCACTGACATGGAGAAGTTTAAACAATTATTTTGTTATTTTTAAGGACAGAGAAAAAAAGAATAAGACTTCATGTATTTTCAAATGAAAAAATTCTTGAATCATAGTTGGAGAGGGTCTACTTGGTCAAAATAAACTTTGATAATTGATTGTCACGTAAAATAAAAAATTAGAAACTGTAACAAATCAGATATAAGTGAAATGTGCTTGAAACAAGTGTTATTAACACTATAAATATTGAACAAATTCTTTTCAGACCTGATTTATTTACATCCTGGTCAATGCCCAGAAACAAGCCAGTTTTACAGTATTGTTTCAATTCTTCTGAGTTACTCAACTGCAAAATGTCAGCTTAGAACAACTAAGATTTTCATGCTAGGTGAACTCAGCAGTCCCTGAATTCCTTGGTTTAATTTGTCTCAAAATCATTATAATCAAGGAAACTATTATTCAGATTAACTTATTAATACATATTTTCTTCTCAGAAATATATACCATCAACAAAAACATTAGAAGTTTTTTTTTGGTGTTCAAGTGGAAAAAAAATCAATAAATTAATAATTTGACACTAATGTTAGTTATATTTTCCTTGACGTTTGTCACTGATCATAAAACAGGGTCATTATTTTTATTAGTCTTGTTTTGTTGCATTTCTATACATTCATGTCTAGATAACCACATCAATTTATATGATTAAATAATTAAATTCACATACCTTTTTCTGTGAGTAATATGCACTGAAGCCCACCTGTGACATTTCCATTTGGAATGTATCACCTTGATCTGTACCTGGCGTAATAAGTATTTGCATATGGTTAACCTTACAAAACCTTACAGTAGACTTTGAGGGTGTGTCTAATTTGTCTATGTCTCCAAATCTATCCACTCAAATTATTTCCAACATTTAGAAACAATGGAAATTTAATACTTGATAAATGTGTTTTGCTATAAGTCTCCTCCAAAACAGGCAGAAGAAGATGATGGGAAGAATGGCTTGTAACAGTTATGCATGATAAAATAGTTAGCAAAACCCAGGAAGAAAAAGGAGCTCAAATGATCCACTTTATTTCATTAGCAGCATGGGCCTGATTAAGAATGAAAGCAGCTGAGAAGTAAGGAAGAGATTTCACCGTAATCAGAGTAAGGTTGTAACTACAGAAGATTTTCAGAGGGGGCTGAGGGCAGGTCACAACTCTCCCAAGCGAAGTCTAAATATGACTTTAAAAACCTGACTTTCAGGATATGAACTGCCACTGACTCATCTCTTCAGCATGTTCATGCAAGTTGTGTACTGACAATTCTAGATGATGTAGGTGATGTTAGGAAAGGAGTATAGTAGCAGCTAAACTGATTGCATTACTGTAACTGCAATTTTTCATTTGCTTTTTATCTTTACACTTGTTAGATGTTAACAGTGAAACACAGGTGAATCTAACAAGCAGAAAAGATATCTTCGCTTTTCCATTGATAAAAACTCTAAACACATATAAATTAATACAAACCCTCAGAGGATGCCTCAAAGCCAGGACTTCATGGAAGTTTTGAGCAGCTGGGGGCCAATTCCCACCATAGGGCAGAAACTGGCTTGAAGCAGCATTAGCTGGGAGAATAACTTCAGGAAAGTTCTCAAAAAACAGAGCCCTCTTGGCGAGCACCAAGCAGCTCACAGTTCCAGGCACTCATGGGTTTCACAGTAGTACACTAGGATGAAGCCAACCCACATCCTCAGCTCCTCAGCTACAAGATTCCAATTTGAGTATTTTACCTTCTATGCTAAAAATGCGCTCGCCAAGTGTTCCTGCTTCTTCTAGCAGTGCAGCCTCAGATGACACATTAAAGAAATACTTCTCTGTTGGATGACTAGCAATTCCTTTGATTTCTTTAATTAAGTTTTTAGTATCAAGTTCATGCCTGATTAAGTATCCCAGGACCTTGGTGGGGGAAGGGAAGAGAAAAAAAAAAAGGAAAAAAGAAGGAAACTGTGTTGTTATTTCATTTTCTTCTGTAGCATCTAAGTATTCAACACTTGAAAAACAATAACATGACTTTCATTCATATTACCAAACTGCTTATTAGATTATATTCCTATACAATACACCATTCAAACAGTAAAAGACAACTTGGGCAAAATAGAAAACGCTGAAGTTGCTTGCAGTAGATTAGTTCTGCTTTTTCAGTTAATTAAAGAGAACCAATAATCCCCTAGTTCATACAGATGAATTTCAGAGTTTTAGTCTCACCAGCACAAACAATACAAGCCTTATATACGACTTATGTACAGAATATACACATTCATGTGTATGCACTGAAATGATCACTCCAAAATTGCAATAATATTTATATAATTAGAATTACTTACAGCAATGCCAAATCTGGTTATATTGTCTTCATTGCATCTACCTATCACTGTTTTCAAGTTGGAGCCATCATGTGATTCACCATCTGTCACAATCACCATTACTTTTGTACCTGATGGGCGTCCCCCCGATTTGGGAGAAAAAGCATAACATCTGTTATAAAAGATTAGATGTATCAGATTATTAGATGTAAATTTATTGTGGATAGAATTCTGCCTACACTTTTAAATAAACATGTTCATGACCAACTTAGAAGAAAGAACATCTGTAGTGATTTTTTATTTCTAAAGTTAAAAACTTAAATAATAATATTTAATATTGCTCCTGATAGTTTGTTCTCAAAGCACTACTCAAAGAACTGCCAAAAATGTAAGTTAGAAAGTGTAGGGGGAAAAAAAAGAAAATAAAATAAAAAGTAGGGCTGGTCATTTCTGCATTTCTGATAGAAAAGTAAGCTTTAAGAAAAACAATTGTTTTGTACAAATGCTTCTGAATCAAAAGGGGTTTTTTTTTGTCAGATCTTGCATGGATATTTTTGTGACACCAGGGTATTCAGGAAATGACTCCACTAACTTCAAACAAAAGGTGAGACAGACTGACAATGGCTCTCTTTATAGTACGAAAAATTTTGGTTCCACTTGAGGAAAAATTCATCCCTAAATAGGGCATTAATTCTGTTGGTATTTAAGCCAAGAGCATAGTCCTTGACCCAGCTGCAAAATAGCATCTTCCTAATGAGGAATGAACCTGATTTGTATACATACTTAGAGTTACATATACAGGTAATTTTAAGTTTTTCCTGTATTTCATGCTGCTAGCGCTGCATTAGCACATTGGCAGTGGACAACAGAATTTGTTTTTGCTAGGTTCAAACAAGGCATTGATTGCAAATAGAGATGTTACCAGCCTCACTGGATAAACTTTGCTCTTCTCAATGATTTTGTATCTTCCCTTGAAGACTGTCTGCAGTATTTCATGCATGTCAAGTTGGAACATTTGGGGCAGGCCAAACAACTCCCTTGGGTACCAGAACTACTTTAGGGTAGAATTTAACCCAACAGGGCATGCTTTTCAGCATGCATGCTGCTCTGCACTGAGCCTGGTGAATGTACCTGGTAGATTCTGCCTGGTGGGAACCTCTGTAGAGGCTCTGGGCACTTGCAGGCCCAACAGGACAGAAGTCAGCAAATGAAATTCAGGGGATGCTCATCTCCTTGCTGTTACCAAAGTACAACAGTAATGATCAATGTGTTTTACCTTGCATAGTCAATGGCTTTGAAAGTATTAGTCAAATCTCCTCCCTTCTGATAGGTTCTCTCCATTGCTTTAACAACCTCAGTCTTTGTTTTATATTCATTCAAGTTGAACACTATGCGTGGCTCATTACCATATTGAATTAAACCGACCTACACAATAAAGACGATGTTAGACTAGATTAGAATTAGATTATCATACCTTACTGTACCATGCAATCATGATGTTAACCTATTCATCAGGCTGGAGTAAAACATCTAAAGATGCACATAGGGTTATCATTTTCTTTCAAAACATACAAAAGCAATTGGTTTAGTAACACAATAGTGACACATTTGGAAAGTAAAGCTAAACACTCTTGCATATTATGTCATTTATTATGTATTATAATATGTTAATGCAAACAATCTGAAATTGTCATTAGGCATTTATTCCAGTTACTTCCAGAAACATTTATGGACAAAAATAATACGGGGGTCCTGGTGAAAAATGAGAAAATAGCAAAAATTCTACAAGCTGAGAGCACCTTTTGTCGATCTTTCCTATGAAAATTCTAATGGTTAGTTACTTTATAGCACTGCAAAACCTGCTGTTTTTTTTTAATACAGGTGAATGCTAAGAAATATGCCGAGATGTGCACTTGCTACAAAAGAAACGAGAAGAAGGTGCTAAAGCTAATATTCAGAGATGGAGTGTGACAGTGTGCGGGAAGCCTAGCTTTTTTAAGCACCTATCTTCCAAAGCAGCCCAATGAGGAAGGCAGCCTTGGGAAGAGAGATTTCCAGGAGCCCAGTCTTTGTTCCCAGAACTGTTTCTGGAAAATGGACAACTGCAAAGACAAAAAAAATGTAAAAACAGGAAATAAAGCTTTCCCTAATATCATCAAATTACAAGGAAAAAATAATTTCTCAAAGTTCAAAGAATTAACTAAGCAGGAAAAATTCCTGTTCTAAAAATGTAGGGCTTCAAAATTAAAAGCCATATGAAAATCTCACTAGAGAAACTGTTCTACTATTAACATCTCCTCACAGAGTACATTTTAATGATTCTTACACATAATATATGAAGGAGATCTGACCTCATTGGATATAACCTAGACTTCTCTTTCAGGTGATCAGTGTTTTAACTCAAATTGTTAACTCCTTTTCATAGAATCACAGAATGCTTAAGGTTGGAAGGAACCTCTAGAGATCATCTAGTCCAACCCCCCTGCACACACAGGGTCACCTAGAGCACGTGGCACAGGACTGCGTCCAAGCGGGTTTTGAAGATCTCCAGAGAAGGAGACTCCACAACCTCTCTGGGCAGCCTGTTCCAGTGCTCTGTCACCCTTTTGAGATACATTATCTGCAAGATAGTAGTCTCTAAAGATAGTAGAGAATTGCATAACCTTCAGTCTTGAAGGAGATGCTATAGCTGTGCTAAAGCATGCTTGGTTTCCTTTGAAACTGCATTTGCTGCTTTTACATTTTCTGAAAACAGAATTTGCTGATAAAAGCCTTTTTTTTTTTTTCTTTTCTCCCCTCCTTTTTTCTTTATCTGTCTTTTGCAAAGATGTCTTTGACTTACCTGTGTTTTGGTAGGACTTATATCTAAGCCCTGCACAAACTTTTTCAAAAAAGCACGCACTGCATCCCAGCGATAGATGCTGTTTGACTCATCACAAACCACCACAACATCTATGACAGAGGAACATTCTAAAACAAAAATAAGAAACATAGATTAAATGTACTTTCAGTCTCAATTTACTTATAGCTCTTGGGCTAAATCTGTAAGAGCATACTCAGGTCTTACATAGGTCAACACTTCTGGAAGGTTTTACCAGAAATGAAGACTCAATAAGAAGATACGCAGATTTTTAGCTTGTTTACAGTTTCACTGCTCCAGTGCAATGCCTCTGAATTTAGGGTGAACCTAGATTCATATCAGCATTAAAGTAGAATTTGTTACTCATTAATGGAGTTTGCTCTTTGTACATACATGTTTAAAAAAACTATCGAGTGTCCCCAAACTTGATTTTTGACCCTCAATTTTGACTTTTTAAATGAATCTGTTTTGCACATGTTGCTTACTTTGAACAGCAGGAGAAAAGCTTCTTAGGATCTGGAAACTTGGACTGATCTCAGAACAGACTCCTGTTGCATAGTATTGGCTTCCACACTGCTGTGCCCACAGGGGACCGCAAGTCTTTAAAAAGGACAGTAAAAAGAAGCTATAAAAATAATAAATACATGCCTCTCTGTATCCATATACAAAAACCTAATAAGTAGGACTGTGAGAATATAAGATGGGATGAGCCCACATGAGTTATCAGTGCAAGTCTCTTGCTGTCACAATGATGTAACCTATTTTGTACTTTGATTTCTCATAGAAAAGATTCTCAGTTCTTGAACATCCTTATGCCTCCTTCTGCAAATCACTCAAACCATCTTCTTCAAACTACGCGCAGCTGTAACTTTCAGAGAGCATAACTAAGTTTGCAAGGAATCTGTTGCTTTCATGCCTCTGCTTTACAAACTGCTGGATAAAAAGCAGCCTTGGTATTTGCACTCCGTATGAATAAAAGAGAATAAGTACTCCCACTAGCCAGGAGATGGCATCACACCCACGAGCGACAGAACACATTTAGCTCCGTTGGCTCTAGCCTGTGGTTGCATGACAGCTAGACCTCAAGTTGAGAGGAGGAAATATGTGGTTGGGAAGGGAAAGGGAGGGTGGTGCTATCTCTTTGCACAGTTTTCTCACAATAAGCCATATTGTGAAACCTCCTCAGAATTCAAATATCTGATATTGGAAGGATTGTTGCAAAAATTACCTGCAGGACAAAAGACAAATACCTAGACCCTATTTTGTTATGTAGTTATTTGAGGGATTTTTTTTAAAGAAAATTACTTAAAGTACTCAGGGAAAAATATATAACTCATGTCCCACATTTCTAAAAGAAATGACAGCTTCATTACTAATATTTTCCTGATTCACCTTTCAAATCAGGAGGGCCTGGAAAACAAAAAGTGCACCATCACTGTTAAGAAAGTGAAAGGAAATGGAACAGCATCCTTATTCTTTTCTTAAAACTACTGAAAAGAAAACAGATACTCAAAGGCACAGGGAAATTAAAAATAAGCTAAATGTAGCATAGGTTTACTGTGTTTACATTAGACTATCCTAATATATTTGTCAAGACATCTACTAACTTCTAGAAAAAGAGGAAAGAAGTATATTTCTCCTTTTGTCAAAAAGGACACACCTCACAAAAGAAGTGGATAGCAGGTGTTAACATTCAACTGGTTCTGTTTTTTGCGTGTCTGTCTTTATGATATTTAGGTAGTCAGTCAATAATGTATGGAGGAAGAAGACCTTTTTAACTGACAGAAATTCAATATAACAAGAAAAGATAAATTTTCCTGCACAAGACATTTTTGTTACTAATTCTGACTCAAGTGGAAAAGCATGGGACAGCACTAGCAGTAATTAAGGGTATTACCTTTAATAATCAGAGACATAATAAAATTTTGAATATTTTTCAAAGCTAATAATCAAGAGATAATAAAGCTGATAATTGCAGTATTGCTGCAATTTAAATTTACAATTAACCTTACTGACTTCAGGAGAACTAAAAAGAAAAAAAAAAAAGAAGAAAAGCTGAGTACTTTAAGTACTTAAGTACTTCAGTGAACTTTGGTATATCATAGAATCATCAAATCATAGAATGCTTAAGGTTGGAAGGGACATCCAGTCCAACCCCCCTGCACCCGCAGGGTCACCTAGAGCACGTGGCACAGGACTGCATCCAAGCGGGTTTTGAAGATCTCCAGAGAAGGAGACTCCACAACCTCTCTGGGCAGCCTGTTCCAGTGCTCTGTCACCCTCACTGTTAAAAAAATTTTCCTTGAGTTCATGTGGAACTTTTGGTGCTTCAGTTTTTGGCCATTACCTCTAGTTCTGATCGACCATTACTTCTAGTTCTAGTTCTGATATGATAGTAAAGATAAATAATTGAATACTTGTATGATCACTAGCAAGATGCGGCAGAAAAGATACAACATTTAAAATGAACAAGTAGAGGCCAGAGTCTCTGTAGACTGGAATTTTCCTGATTTTGTAGCCTAAGTACTGATAGATACATGGAATACTTCAAAATATATAAAATACGTATTAATCCATGCTACAAAATAAAACAGATTCATTTTGTACTTAATTAAAAATTGTGTAGAATTATAGTTTTTTTCATAGGACTTTCTGTGTTTTATTGAACACAAAATCGACACATACCAGAAATCCTCCTGTTTTTGAGTTTTGTATCAGAGTCAGGCCGAGGTTCATTTCTTCCTTTATCTCAGTCACATTTGGAATGGTGGTTAAAGCTAAAATAAAGAGATTAAATAAGAACACAATAAAAAAAAAAAGATGTACAAGCAATTTAGTAAATCAGAATTTATTTTCTAAAACCACTCTTTTTTTTTTTCTTTTCCCCTAGGATTTAAGGAGATGCCTCTTCCAGACCCCTTTATAAAGTTTTATGAAAAAAGAAAACTAATCTCTGTGAAAAATCTGCTAAACATGAATTTTAATTCATGTACATGTGTAGATGTTAATTAAGTGTGGGAGAAAATGTAATTTAGAGTGCCTTTCCTCAAAGGCTAAAGGCAACAGAATGGAAAAGAAGACAATTTCTTCTTGTAAGTACTTTTAGTTGGTTGAGTAGCTACAGTTGGGTGGCTATTGTTACTGTTCACAGGGCATGAGATTCCTGCGATACAGTATTATGCTTTAGACAAAGAAGTGAAAGGACCCACGGATGACAGAAATGCTTTGCCCTGTAAGCAAAGGTACAGTAGGCGTCTCAAGATACTGTACTGTGTTGAGAAAAAAAGTTACTCTCCTCTGTCATTCTTTATTTTCACTGCATACCAAAAAAAAATCTCATTTGAAACTTAGTCCAGAAAGTCACAGAGGCACAAAAGGCTTCATCCAGGATGCTAAGTAAGTGCACTTCAAAATGACACTGTAATGAGAACCCTCAAGTATAATGTAAATATACTACAGATATTGCTACTACTTACATCATTAATAATAGGGCTCATAGAAATTACTAAGAAAGATGGTGAGAGAACTGACAGAGGGAGAACAAAAAGTCTTTATAAGGTACAGCAAACAGCAATAATGATAATATAGTTCTAGAATAAGCTAATTCCAGAAATCAAATCCACCTTAGGAGTGTGTGAAACAAATGGAAAAAAATCACATGAGCTGCTGTAAAAAATGATTACGTGCAAATTAATTTCACAATTTAAAAGAAAAAAATGACAAGGAGAAAAAAGATCATTAGAAATGGCCATATAAAATATTTTTATATTTGTATTTTATTTTTCAAGGTACCTAAGATGAAAGAATGCTGACCTTGTCAACAAAAGTGAAATTCCTCTGACTGCCGGTAAAACAAACATTCACACAAACCCCCTAACACTAATATTTGTTATTGGATTTGCTGCTTGCTGATTGTTCTTTTAACATATTGGTGTAGTTGAAAAATGAGGAAAAACTTAACAATTATTGTGAGACATTATTCATTATAACTTACCTTGTAAATTTAATTTTTTGCATGTGGTTTTGGGTGTACCAACAGGACATGCATAGATATCTCCAGTTCTATTAGCTGGATACCCACTCCAGGGTGAACCAACCAACAACCTAAAATAACAGAACTTCATTAGTTCTTCAACGACACTGGGAAAGACCATGGGCGATATTACAAAGCAAAGTGAAGGTGACAGGTAAAGAAGTTTCCCAGACACACAGCACCTAAGGAATTAAAGGGTTCTCCCTAGAGCTGTTCAGAAGGTGAGCTTTACTCGGATACTAACACACTGGCTTCAGTATGCAAGGGGCAACTTTGGTTGTGGCTCCTCCTGGGATTAGACTGTCTGAAAAATATATAATGTTGTTATTGTGATTTCAAACTAAAAGCAAAGGTATTAATATATACTAAAAAAAAAAAAATCAGATACATACATTGTGAATCAAAAGACATTGTTTTTAATCTCCTGCCAGGTAGGAGTTAACTGATTCATTTAAAATTATTCTTTTAACTGATAAAAGCATTTCCTACAGGATCTACTCGACAATGGCAAAGTACTTACAGCTTTCAACTTTACCACACCTTGAAAACACTGAGTCAGAAAGAAAACACTGCAGGTGACTGGAAACTGCGGCATAAAGCATATTTAATCCTGAACAAGAGCTTTAAGACTTATGAAACTTTCTCCATATGCCATCAAGTGATTCACCTTCTAGGAGCCTTGGTTTGCCATAAGGCTCTCACCCCAGCGTGCACTCCTCAAAACAAGATTGTCACTCTAACCTCAGAAACTTTAAAAACCATCTAAACCACTCTGTGGTAACACTGCAGAACAGTACCTATGGTCCAGTACAACTCTCTAAGACACTGAGAGATTGAAATGTGCGTAAAGAAGAACATGACCAAGTCCTTCAACAGACGGGAAAAAAATGAACCGGCTGATTGAAAGCAGGGACAGCAAGTATTTCCTCTGACAGCAATGTAGGGCTTTCTGTTTATATAGCAAAATCTCTGATAGCAGACTTTGAAAGGACAAGCAATGGGACCTCAGTACAGAATATGGAATTTCATAAGAAGGACTGATAGAAGCTCATTTTGCCTCCCCTAATACTGAATAAGTAGTTACTGTAAACACATTGCACCATAATAACAACACATTTTATAAAATGATTATGTTTCAAAGTGATTGCTATATATCCCACTAAGTTTCCTGAGATCATTTGATTTCATTCCTGCATTTTAAAATAAATAAAATTAATTTGATTAAAACAAGCTCAATAAAAATATATAGCAACACTTTGATTCAGCTTTGCCCTAAGGAAAATGCTAGCTGCATTTTTTAAGTTTATTATATCTCAATTAAACACAAACTTAAGAGTGAACTTAACCAGTTCAGTTAGAAAAAAAAATTACATTTTATTTTCTTTGCATACAAATACTTTAAAAATACTCACCTCCTTCCTAATTATCCTGAAAAATTGTGATTATGTGGGCAATAGAAACAAGTTTTGTGTGGTTTTGGCATCTCTAAACTTGCCATTCAGGTTCATATAAATACCTCTCCATAAAAACAGCATGTGTTACAGTTTCTGTGAGGAGGACTCTGACCTTGTACCTTTTCTGCACAGTGGAAACCAGAACCACCATTGCCCAGGACCAAACAACCAAGGCTTGTTAGAAACTCCTCCTCAGGCTGTACACCAGCCGACCATGCAACTAGCAAACACTTGCAGTAACATGTAGGGCTGGAGCCAGTGAAGTCACTGACAGAAGGAAAACAAGGTGTTAGGCTCTCCCCTTGCTAAGTACTACAGAATAATATACAGTAATAAAATGATACCTTGAGTAATAGCAAGGGGAAAGGGGCCAAAAAGAAAGAAAGAAAAAAAAAAGGCAAAAGGAAAAGAGCACAAGGGCATGAGCAATGCCGTAAGCTATTCCACTTCCAGACATTAAGTTTCAAGTTGAATATTGCACTGCAGACATTTTCAAATATTTGCCTATCTTTCCCAAAGGGCAAATATAATTGGGAATCCATGCAGGATGATGGCTAATATTTAAAGGGAAGGCCTTAAAGAATTTTGGAAATACTCTTACATCACACTGTATTGTCACATAATTTGCTGTAATAGTCTGGACTGTGCTAGAGTCATCCTACAGAGATGGGTTATCTTGAAGTCTGAGCACACTGTTTATACAGACAGAGTGAAAATAGGAAGCAACAGGAAGCTCTTCTGTAATGATCTCACTCCTCAAATAGTTGAGCTGTAATCATTTTCTTGCCCACATCTGTACATTTAGTTAACAAATGGTCGATGTAAATGAAAGATTCCTAACTCGTACTTCTGCTGCCGAGGGGACTGATGCGGTCCTCAGGCCTCTCGCTGGCCTGCCAGGAAAGGGCATTTGTTCTGTGGGGGCCAGGAAGCAGAATCCTTCTGCCT